TGAGGACTAGCTGTATACCCTCAACAGCTGCAATATTTCGCTTAGGGACCGTGGAAAAATGGTCATAAAATTGGACGCGGCTAACCTCAACAACTGCCTTGCTTTGCGACGGGAATTCTGGTCTCAGCGTCGTCGTAAGACGAGGAGTCTCTGTGTTTCAAAGGCCTTGCTTGGGAGGTAAAAAAAAACACCACTCTGTGCATGTGCAGAGGTGTTTTGCTGCTGACACCATCAGCCCTCAGGAAAAATCGTGACGTTATTGTTCCAAAAATGCAAATTTCACCACTCAAATATATGTATGACAGTGTCACATATGGGGGGGGGGGATGACGTCGCTTTCCCCTCCCCTACAGATCCCCACAGCTCAGCTGGACACCCCCCCAGGAGTCTCCATTGAGCCCCTCTTCACATTATGAATGGTTTCTTAATAATAATAATAATAAAGTTGGAAGGGACCTTGGAGGTCATCTAGTCCAACCCCCTGCTCAGGCAGGAAACCCTATACCATTTCAGACAAATGGCTGTCCAGTCTCTTCTTAAAAATGTCTAGGGTTGGGAGGGAGGGAGGAAGGAAGGAAGGAAGGAAGGAAGGAAGGAAGGAAGGAAGGAAGGAAGGAAGGAAGGAAGGAAGGAAGGAAGAAAAGAATAACAAAATAACAGACTTGGAAGGGACCTTGGAGGTCATCTAGTCCAACCCCCTGCTCAGGCAGGAAACCCTACTACACCATTTCAGACAAATGGCTGTCCAGTCTCTTCTTAAAAACTTCCAGTGTTGGAGCATTCACCACTTCTGGAGGCAAGGAGTTCCACTGGTTAATTGTTCTCACTGTCAGGAAGTTTCTCCTTGGTTCTAGGTTGCTTCTCTCCTTGATCAGTTTCAAGTCACCTTTATCAGTTGTGTTGTCGGTTTGTTGTGATACAGAGATGCAGAGGCTGCAACAAGGATATCCTATTATTGTCATCTGATTCTTCAGACTGAAAAAAAAATGTTTTGGTGGGATCAGGTAAAGTTAAGTTTCACAAATGTGGCTGCTTTGAGACTTGTGGACTTCAACTCCCAGAATTCCTCAGCCAGCCATGCCTCTTTTTTTTTTTTTTGGTGGTCATACTTCCAAGAGCGGAGAGATTGCAGAGGAAGGGATTACAAGAGAGTAAACAGGCCACGATGGGTATACCTGTCAAAAGGAATGCATTAGTCCCAGGGAATTCTGGGAGTTGAAGTCCACACATCTTAAAAGAGGCCAGATTTGACAAAACACTGTTGTGGAGCTGAGACAGAGGTTTGCTTCCTGGGTGTAAAGCCGGGGTCTTCAAACTTGGCCGCTTTAAGACTTGTGGACCTCAACTCCCAGAATTCCCTGGGACTAATGCATTCCTTTTGATAGGTATACCCATTGTGGCCTGTTTACTCTCTTGTAATCCCTTCCTCTGCAATCTCTCCGCTCTTGGAAGTATGAAAAAAAGAGAGAGAGGCATGGCTGGCTGAGGAATTCTGGGAGTTGAAGTCCACAAGTCTTAAAGCGGCCAGATTTGGAGACCCCTAGTGTAAAGGCACATTCCCTGTCTTGCTTGACCACAACTCCCAGCAATCCCTGCCAGCCAGACGCTAGGGATGCTGGGAGTTGTAGTTTCGAGAGCTGGTCCAGTTTGAAGTCAATATAGACAACCTGGTGCGTTCTTCCATTCCAGTTTTAACCCTGCTGACGGGGGATGATGAGTGTCGAAATCCTGCCCACTGGGTAGGGGAATACTTTTCTCACCTGTAGACCTTGCAAAGTCACGCCGGCTCAGTGGGGCAGGTTGTGGTCCTGGATTTGGTGAGAACCGGCCATCGGCTTGGCCCGTGGGCTGGCTTGGGCCATCTCATAAGTTGGTTTTGGGTTTTGCTCAGGAAATCAGCACAGCGGTTGGGCTTGTGAAGCTGGGTTGAGCATTGACCGCATGGTTGGGATCTGGTTTAGGATCTGGAGGCGGAACGGAGTGCAACTCTCCAACCTTCATCACCCCTGGCCAACTTGGATGACCGTGGTTGAAGTGTTGAGTCTTCGATGACCGTGGTTGAAGTGTGTGAGCCTTGGTTGACCGTGGTTGATGTGTTTGAGCCTTGGGTGACCATGGTTGATGTGTTTGAGCCTTGGATAACCATGGTTGACGTGTTTGAGCCTTGGATAACCACGATTGATATATTTGAACCTTGGTTGACTAAGGTTGATGTGTTTGAGCCTTGGATGACCATGGTTGATGTGTGTGAGCTTGGGTGACCATGGTTGATATGTTTGAGCCTTGGACGACCATAGTTGATGTGTGTGAGCCTTGGATAACCATGGTTGATGTGTGTGAGCCTTGGATGACCATGGTTCATGTGTGTGAGCCTTGGTTGACTGTGGTTCATGTATTTGAGCCTTGGATAACCACGATTGATGTGTTTGAGCCTTGGATAACCACAATTGATGTGTTTGAGCCTTGGATAACCACGATTGATGTGTTTGAGCCTTGGATAACCACAACTGATGTGTTTGAGCCTTGGGTGACCACGGTTGATGTGATTGAGCCTTGGATAACCATGGTTGATGTGTGTTAGCCTTGGATGACCACGATTGATGTGTTTGAGCCTTGGGTGACCACGGTTGATGTGTTTGAGCTTTGGGTGACCATGATTGATGTGTTTGAGCCTTGGGTGACCATGATTGATGTGTTTGAGCCTTGGGTGAACACGATTGATGTGTTTGAGCCTTGGGTGACCATGGTTGATGATTGTGTGAGTCTTGCAAGACCACGGATGAAGTCTGTGTGAGTCTGGCAAGACCGTGAGCAGTGTGTCAGTGAATCTTGGATGACCCCGGATGGTGGCCTGTTTGTGTGAGTTTCTTAAGACCATCTATGACACTTGTGTGAACTTCGGAGGACCATGGATGACTCTTATGTGAATCTTTGTAGACCATGGACGAGGCATCTGTGAGTCTTGGAAGACCAGGGATGAGGTATGTGTGAAGCTTGGAAGACCAGGGATGGTATGTGTGTGTGTATCTATATGTCCACGGTGTCTTCCATTCTTCCCGTTTCTCCCTTGCCTTTCTCCTCTTAATTTGGCTCCATCCATCCATCCATCCATCCATCCCTCTTTCGCCCTGACCCCCAGCTCCCCTTCCTTCTCCCCCTTGGTCCACCTCCCCAGAAGTCCCAGGTGTGGGGCGCTCCCCTCTCGCCTGTCCATCCCTTCCCCTGACCGTCCGTGCGTTGTGGGGAGGGAGTGGGCTTCTACCCTCCCCTTCCAGCCCCTCTTGCTGGGCCTTTGGATTCTCCCAGACGCAATTTGGCGCTAATTACACGTTCCTGCTTCTAATTGCCACATTGTGAATGATAAACAAAAAAACTCCAATTTTATTTAATTAAAGACCTGGGAGAATCCACCAGGGAGAGTCGAACCGGGGAAGGAAGGCGCTGCGGAGCTGGGAGAGATTTTACACAGCCCTCCGCGGAGGAGGAGGGTGGCCCGGTCGGGAGGCTGACACTATCCAGGCCCCCAGCGCCTTCGTGGGCCTGGGGTGCCCAAGCAGGGAGTGAGGTGGTCCTTGAGTTACGTCCATTGGTTTGCGTCCATTCAGTCTAGGGAGACCGAGGATCTGCACAGACATTCGTTCAGCAACCGCTCAAAGGAGGGTTGAAAGAAATGACTTATGGCCGGTCCCCAGACTTATGACCAAAGGATGAGAACAAAGGTTGTGGTGTCCCAGGGTCACGTGACCGCCAGATGTGACTTTGTAGCGGGCTTCCGATAACCCAAGTCAAGCCAGATTCTCTTAATGACTGTGTGAGGTTCAGTAGTTGCGGCGATTTGTTTAACAACCCTGGCGAAAGAGATTGTAAAACGGGGCAAAACTCACAAGCAATGTCTCGCTTAGCAACAGAAAGGTTGGGTTCAGTTGTGGTCGTAAGTTGAGGACTCCCTGAAGAAACGTAACAGTCTTGTGGGTTGGCCTTAACGCAACGGTCGGCCACCTGGACACCTTCATTATCCTTCCAGATCAGGGGAACGCAAGGTGACTTTCTGGGAAGAGGTGAATCTGGACCTTGGGACGTCTTCCGATCCAGGGGTGCCCCATCTTGGTGTCCTCAGGACCGAACCATGATGGGAAAAGAAGCCGCTTGGACATCTTGAGATCTCCACATCTCCCTTGGATGTCCTCATCCAGGGCAGAGAGACGTGGAACGGATCCCTCTCCAACATAGGATGAGTTATGGGTCCTCCCTGGATCGGGGACCTCATCCCTCGTCTTCTGGGGGATCTTGTTTGTTTCTGGAATCCTTTGGGGGGCCCTCGGTGCTTTGGTTAAGGTTGAGGAATCCACCCTGATGTTTATTTCTCCACACTGTGGCCCGATGGTCGTGTTCTCTTGAGTTCCTCCTGAAGACGTGGTCTTTCCTTCTTGGAACTGGGACTCAGTGAGATGCTGGCCTTCGGCATCTTCTCGAAGTCCACCACAAGAACGTGGCCTCCTACACTTTGCTCACCCCCCAGTTTATGTTTGATGAAGGCAGGTTTAGGGTTGGGGAGACTCGGGGGGGGTGAGTTCAGAGAGGTCTCCTGTGGGAAGGAAAGGGGACCTCTTTATCGGAGGTGGAGAAGACCTTCTTCTTGGACAGCTGGGTCCACCTGCTCCTATCTGCTGCCCTTTCTCTCCGCTTGACCCACAACTTCCCTTCTCTCTTCCCTCTCCCTGGACCTCTAGGTGCCTCTCTCCCTGGAGGTTGTGGTGCTCCGGACCCACCATGGAACGCAACAGATGTCCGATCTGTGCCAGAACATTTTTCTGGGTCACCTGCTAGGACCGCTGGGTTTCGTCACCTTCTGGGCTCACCTCTCCGGTCTACTTCGTCCTCCTCCTCCTCTTCCTCTTCTTCCTCTTTGTCTGGTGCTGCTGCCTGGGTCAGCCGTTCTGACTCTTTCTCTCCCGCCCCCCTTGTGAAGGACCACCGGCCTGGCACCCTCTCCGGTCACCATGTTCCTCTCCTCCCCGAGCTTCGCCCGCCGGATGCTGAACGTCCGGCCGGGATCCGCCCTCCTTTTTTGGCTCTTGGGGCTGGCCCTGCGCCCGTCGCCCCTCTCGGGGCAAAAGCCCGAAGACAAGTACCCCGTGGTGCCCACCAACTACGGGAAGCTGCGTGGCATCAAGAAAGGCCTGAACAATGAGATCCTCGGCCCCGTGGTGCAGTATCTGGGCATCCCGTACGCTACACCGCCCGTCGGCGAGCGCCGCTTCCAGCCGCCCGAGGCGCCGGCGTCCTGGTCCGAGGTGCGCAATGCTACCGCTTTCGCCCCGGTGTGCCCGCAGAACATCCACGGCATGCTGCCCGCCATCATGCTGCCCGTGTGGTTCACCGACAATCTGGAGATTGTGGCCGGCTACGTGCAGAATCAAAGCGAAGACTGTCTCTACCTCAACGTCTACGTGCCCATGGAGGATGGTAAGCACGCAGAAGGGGGGGCAGCAGGGAGGGGGGGGCGGGCACGGGGGTCTTAGGCCCCTTCTCAGTCCCGCCGGGCCTCTGGAGGGGTCTTCCCTGCCAAGCCCCCCTTTTCTCTCAAGTTTCTCTCCTGTTTGAATTCTCCCACCGGCCCTTTGATTCAGCGTACCAGCACCCCTTCTCCGTCGCCCTGCCCAAGGTGTGCCCACCCCATGTTATTTGGAGGAGGGGGCGTAAGGGCTCTCTTCAAGGGGGCAAACGAGGTCTCCTTTCCTTGGGGGGGGTCTCCCACTGGCAAATGAGGGCCCCTTGGGGTCTCCCTCTGCAGATGGATCAAGGGCAGCTGGCCCCGAAAGGCAGGAGGTCTTGTCCTTTTTGCTGTCCGGGGTGAGGGCTCACGAAATCTGGATGGAGACCCCCTCCCCAAGGGAGGGAATGCACGGAAGCTCAGCTTGGCTACTTTCGGTCCATCCGGGACCCCCCCTCTCCTTTTTTTTCAGCCCAATCTCGAGTGGTCCCGGAGGACCCACAATCTTCTTGAGAACGTTCCCACAGCTTTGGTCCATGTTTGCCGACTCCTCCGGCTGTAGACTTTTAAAAGCGGGCCCCGATTTACAGCGGTCCATTTAGTGACCGTTCAAAGTTACAGCAGCACTGAAAAAAATGACTGTTTTTCACGCTTTACGACCGTTGCAGCCTCCTCGGAGTCCCCCAATCGACATTCGGATGCTGGCAACTGACTCGTAGTTACGACGGTCGCTGCGTCCCGGGGTCGCGTGATTTTCCCTTTGGCAACCGTCTGACAAGCCAAGTCAGTGGGGGAAGCCGGATTCGCGTTTATGACCGGGTTACTCGCTTAACAACTGCAGGGATTCACTTAACAACCTCAGGTGTAAAATGGAGCAAAACTCCCTTCACAAAGGCCTCACTTAACGAAGGGAATTTTGGGCTGCATTGAGGTTGTAAGATGAATTATCTGCTTTTTCCAGAGATTCTAGATCTCTCCCACCCCTCCTGTTTCCACCAGGGCTGCCCCCCACTTTTCAGACAGGATTGGGAGGGAGGCTGGGGGTTCCTAGGCCACCTGGAGAGGTTGGAGATCCTGGGTGCGAAACGCGCAACTTTGGCTTCCGCCACAGCGAAATGGGCCAGGAAGTGACAGGCCGTCCCTGGCTTACAACGGTTCATTTGGTGACCATCCAAAGTTGCGATGTCAACTGAAGAAAAGTCACTTGTGGGCTTCAGAGGAGAAGCCTAATTCACTTAACAACCGGGTGACCAATTTACCAATCGTAGTGATTCACTTAACAACTGTGATGGGAAAATTGGTCAAATGGGGCAAAACTCGCTTCACAAATGTTTTGCTTTCACCGGAGAAATTTGGGGCTCCCTTGCAGTCGTAAATCGAGGACTGCCTGTAACAGACCGTCCTCGGCTTTACGACCGTTTGGTTTAGGCACCGAGTTGAAGTCGCCAGGGGACTGAAAGTTTTGATCCCAATTGTGATCGTAAGTAGAGGACGATCTGGAAGACTGACGAGTGCAACGGAGGTGGGGGTAAAGGAGGTGGGGAAATTGCAACGATCCCGTGACGCACGGGGACGCCGCAACGGCCGTAAGTGTCCAAAATGGTCATTGGTCCCTTTTTCCAGCGCCAGTGTAACTTGGGACGGTCGCTAAACAAACAGTCGTAAGTCGAGGATTGTCTGTATTCATTCATTTCTCATTTGGGGTGCCCCCCCTTAATTAGGCAACTGCTCCCCTATTTCTGGCAACCTCTTTGCTGAATATCTCCTTCCCCCAAATTCGGCCTTCTGCCTCCTAGAGCCCGTTCTGGATCTCGCCACACTGACCCGTCCGATCTGCTTGGCGGCAACTCAAACCCCCTCCCCTCAAAGAGGGTCTGCCCTGCAAAGCCCCCACGCCCACCCCGCCCGACCAGCAGGCAGAAGCCCAACAGGTCCTGTCTCCTGGACTTTGCAGGCTGCTTGCCGAAATTCCTGCCCGGTTAATAATAATAATAATAATAATAATAATAATAATAATAATAATAATAATAATAATAATAATATAATAATAATAATAATAATAATAATAATAATAATAATAATAATAATAATAATAAAGTCGGAAGGGACCTTGGAGGTCATCTAGTCCAACCCCCTGCTCAGGCAGGAAACCCTATACCATTTCAGACAAATGGCTGTCCAGTCTCTTCTTAAAAACTTCCAGTGTTGGAGCATTCACAGCTGCTGGAGGCAGGTTGTTAATAATAATAATAATAATAACAACAACAATAATAATAATAAGTCAGAAGGGACCTTGGAGGTCATCTAGCCCAACCCCCTGCTCAGGCAGGAAACCCTACACCATTTCAGACAAAGGGCTGTCCAGTCTCTTCTTAAAAACTTCCAGCGTTCGAGCATTTTTGCACGCAGGTGGACAAATGCACACTCACCTGGGGGGCTTCCTCTGCCATGATGGGTGCTGGGTGTGGGTCTCCCCCTGCCCAACAGGGACAGGAGTGCTGGCAGGGAAACCCCCTCTCCTTCTTGCCTTAAGCTTTTCTGAACCTGGCACCCCCCCCACCCCTCCCCAGTTGGCAGGAAGGAGGATGAATGGGTCTTCCACCCTTCCTTGGTCCCCCGCTGGGCTGGGCTGGGTGAGTGGGGGTCTCCCTCCTTCCCTCCCCAGCCCCCAAACCCTCGGGGTGACCTCCAAGCCTCACCACAGCCAAAGGGAATATATGGGGGTTTGGTAGGTAGAGATTTTATTTTTTTATTTTATTTTATTATTTTATTTTATTATTTTATTTTATTTTATTTTATTTTATTTATTTTATTTTATTTTATTATTTTATTATTTTATTTTATTTTATTTTATTTTATTTTATTTTATTATTTTATTTTATTTTATTTTATTTATTTTATTTTATTATTTTATTATTTTATTATTTTATTTTATTACATTACATTTCATTTCATTTCATTATTTTATTTTATTATTTTATTATTTTATTTTATATTTTATTTTATTTTATTTATATTTTATTATTTATTTTATTTTATTTTTTTATTTTATTTTATTACATTTCATTTCATTATGTCATTTCATTTTATTTTATTATTTTATTTTATTTTATTATTTTATTTTATTATTTTATTTTATTTTATATTTTATTTTATTATTTTATTATTTTATTTTATTTTATATTTTATTTTATTATTTTATTTTATATTTTATTTTATTTTATTATTTTATTTTATTTTAGTTAAAAAAAAAAAGAAACACAGGCAGTCCTCAACGTACGACCGCTTTCCCGTCGCTAAGCGAAACCTCTGTTCAATGAGACTTGCCCCCGTTTTGCCACCTCGCTCGCCCCTTTCGCGAACCGAATCCCTGCTGCTGACGTAAAGCGAGCAACACGGCCGCTAAGCGAATCCAGCCTCCCCGGTGACTTTGCTCGGCAGGCGGTCGCAAAAGAGACCCTGCCGCGGTCGTAAATGCGAGTCCGTTGCCAGGCATCCCGAATCCCGATCAGCGGATGCCGCGACGGTCGCCAGGGAGTAAATCGGTCCTAAGTCCCTCCCCCCGCCGCCGCCGTAACTTTGAGCGGTTGCTAAACGGGCTGTTGTAAGCCGGGGACGACGTGTCGTCAAGCCGGGGCTGGCTTGGAAGCCTCGTGAGCCCCCCTCCCCTCCCTCCCAGCGGGGTGTGCCCCCCTCCCCAATTTTCTAGCCCGCCACCACAGCTTCTTTTGCAGCACTGCTAAGCCCGTTGCCTTGGCAACAAGGGGAAAAAATGGCATTAAAAAGAACCCCCAGCTGAAGCAAATCCTGTAGACAACACAACAAGACAGCTGAGTGTCCCTTTTTTGCTGTGTGCTGCTGCTGCTGCTGATGGGGGGGGTAGTTGGCGGTGAAAGCCCCCTCCCCCAAATCTCTTCTCCACCCTGCTGTCTTCCCCCCTTTTGTCCCTCCCCTCCTCTGCCCCACGGGAGTCTCCTCCGATGGAGAGGAGGAGGATGATGATGATGATGATGAAGGCCTCGCCCTGGGCGCCTGCCCCCTCCATCGGAGGGGTGAGGAGGGGGTTCCCCTGGTTGGGGGTGGGCAGCAGGACCCCTTTTCCCACACACAGGCACCCCGCACCCCTCCCCTGCGAGGGGGGGCTGAGCTAGAGAGAGAGAGAGAGAGAGCAGGAGGGGGGGCGAGAGCATTTCTGCTGATTGGAAGGAGGAGAAGGAGGCCAGCAAGTTTATCTAGGGTGAAACATGGTTTAATTTGAAAAAAGGGGAGGGGGCGATTCCAGGCTTGGGGTCCAGATTCAACCTCCTCCCCCTCCTCTTCTTCTTTCTTCCTTCCTTCCTCCTGCTTCTCCTCTTCCTCTTCCCCTCCTCCTCCTCTTCATCCTTGCTTCTTCCTTCCTTCCTTCTTCCTTCCTTCCTCCTGCTTCTCCTCTTCCTCTTCCTCCTCTCCCCTTTCTCTTCCTCCTCCAGTCCCCTCCTCCTCCTTCCTTCTTCCTTCCTCCTCCTGCTTCTCCTCTTCCTCTTCCCCCCTCCTCCTCTTCTTCCTCCTCCCCTCCCCACCTCCTCCTTTCATCCTTCTTCCTTTCTTCTTCCTTCTTCCTGCTTCTCCTCTTCCTCTTCCCCCTCCACCTCCTCTTCCTCCTCCAGTCGCCTCCTCCTTCTTCCTTCCTCCTCCTGCGTCTCCTCTTCCTCTTCCCCCTCCTCCTTTTCATCCTTCTTCCTTTCTTCTTCCTTCTTCCTGCTTCTCCTCTTCCTCTTCCCCTCCTCCTTCTCCTCCTTTTCATCCTTCATCCTTTTTTCTTCCTTCTTCTTCCTGCTTCTCCTCTTC